TTATAAATATTTTTATTTTATAATTAACTTAATTTTACATATCAGCCACAGATTCTCATATCCTCCCTCCTCCCTCCTACCACCCCCAGGCTTCCCCCCAATTCACCCCTCATTCCCACCTCCTCCAAGGCAAGGTCTCCCCTGGGGATTCACTCTTTTACTCTTTGGGGGCCCACCACCCAGCTCCCAAATAATCACACAGAGACTTATTCTCACTTATGAATGCCCAGCCTTAGCTTGGCTTGTTTCTAGCCAGCTTCTTCACTTAAACTATCCTGTCTACCTTTTGCCTCTGGGCTTTTACCATTCTCTATTTTATATGCTTTCCTTTACTTCTTACTCCATTGCTGGCTGGCTGGCTAGGTGGCTGGCCCCTGGAGTCCTCCTCTTCTTTTCCTTTTTCTAGTTCCTCCCTCCTGCTTCTTCTTGAGCCTAGATTTTCCTTCTATTTATTCTCTCTTCCTACAGCCCTGCCTATCCCTCTCCTACCTAGCTATTGGCTATTCAGCTCTTTATTAGACTAGTCCAGTATTTTAGGCAGGCAAAGTAATACAGCTTCAGAGTTAAACAAATGCAATATAAAAGAACGCAACACATCTTTGCATAATTAAACAAATATTCCACAGCATAAACAAATGCAACACATCTTAAATTAATATTCCATGAGAACTGTGTTGTCTTTTTAACAATAAATGGATATTCTTGCCAGTTCATCAATGTGGAGGCCCACAAAGTTTTCCTATTGAGATCTGAGCTTGCCTTAACCCAGCAGAGCTGCATTAGGGGATTGCTTGACCAAGTGCATGGTTACCAGGTAATTGGAAAGTGTCTGCACTTGGCTGTGCAAGGGGGAGGTCTTTTGCTTCACCCCTTGGCATTCCTATAAATATCCATTTAGAAGATCCAGAAGGGGACAGTGGATTAGGATCCAGGCCCTTCCAAAGCTATCCTGTGTTTTTCATCTGTTTCTCTCCCCTCTATTCTTCTATCTAAATCTCATCCCTCATTCCTCAAGAATACCCTGGGGTAAAATGTGGGAGCCAGTCTCCCAGCTGGTCTCACATACATCAAGAGAAATGATGTAATCACAGGCCAGTGGCTACCATTTCATGCACCCGTCTTATATTAATCAGTTCCAGTAGCATTTTACATAATACGTGCAGAGCAGCAAAACATCTGAGTCACCTGAAAAAGTCATCTCCGGCAGAGGTGTAGCAAAATACAATGCTTTGCTATCTTCTCTCAATTCTCACACTTCAAACAACTGTTCATTTGCTCCTTGCCACGGTCAACATAGTGCCTTTTTTTCTACATCACTAGATCTTGAAGACACATGTAGAAGATCAGCCAATGGGTGGTTGTATTTCTCACCTTAGTAGGTGTCCCATGGCTTCAGACACAGAAAGAAAGTGAAAGCCAGGGACCTGGTCACCACCTGTGCTCACCAAGTGGATAGAAAAAAAAAAAAGTGAGGCACAAGCCTGGGTGCTGCACATCAGGCAGAGAATGAAGACATTTTAGTTGTTCCATGTAGAGGGTCTTCAAGGATGGCAATGGAATACAATGGTGGTCAATTGGATAGTATTCCCTGGCCTCTAAAGGTTGTGGATTTATTTTCAAAGCCTGACACAAAACAGTCCTCTTTCCCTTTTGTTTTTAAACACCACCACCACCACCACCACCACCACCACCAAGGATAAGGCTCACTTCTGGACAGTGCAGGTCTACAGAGTCATCAAGTAATTTTTATCTTGTAAAATTTTTTTTTACTTAATTTATTAGTTATATGTGTTACATAAGTATGTGTGCCTGTTTTGTGTGGGCACACATGTGTGGGCACACATGCCTATGCGCATATGTGAGTGAAGGGCAATGGTTAACCTTGGCTTCCATTCCTCAGAGCCTCTGGCTGGGATCTGGGGCTCTCTGATTTGGCGAAACTGTCTGATCATCAAGCCCTGGGGACCCACCTGTGCCCACCTCCCCAGCACTGGGATGATATGCGCATTTTATCACTCGTGGTTTTCAGTGTTGATGCTGGGGACCAAATTCACGTCCTTATGCTTGTGTGGTAAGTACTTTACCAACTGAACTGTCTCCCCAGCTCGGTGAGCTCTTTCAGCTATTTGAAAATTTATTTCTTGGGAAAGGAACAAACTTCTTTGTCTCGTGGTCTGACTAGGTCTGTTGGTTGATAGCCGTGTGGACATAATTTAGAGATAAGTACAGCATTCCAACAACTGGACCTCTGCAGTAATGTTTACATTTTCTGAGGGATAATAACTTTTCCATCAGTGTACTATTGCAGATGGGCCCAGAGGCAACAGTATGCTTCTAGAAAGAAATGGGACAACTGCTTCTCTGGAAATAACTTCTTAGAATGGAAGAGGTTTGATTTATTGAAATATGAAAAAGAAGTGAAAATAAATACTGATATCATCTATAGACAGTAGTTACAGACTGGAACACTGGTATCAACCACAGACAGCAGTTACAGATTGGAACGCCAGTATCATCCATAGACAGCGGTTACAGATTGGAACACCAGTATCATCCATAGACAGTGATTACAGACTGAAAGATGGGAAAGCACTTGTGTATCTACCTAGTACTTGTGTATCTGTGTGTAGACATCTTGTGTGTGGTCAGCGTGTGTTTGCTTTTGAAAATCACTCTGTGTTTATTGTCCAAAAGTTCTCCTGAATAAGAATTATCTGGTTTTTTTTGGTTTTTTTGTTTGTTTGTTTGTTTTTTTAGTTTACCTTATCTATGAAACAAACAGAAGTAAACCAAACTTTCTGGAGAGATTATTTTTTATTCAGATGGGAAAAGGTCATTTGACAGGGAACGTGAGTCAGTAGGGATGCCTGCACAGTCACTGGGAATGACTGAATCTAGATCCGACCCCACTAGAACATCAGCAAAGAAGGGAAGTCTGTCAGAGCCCACACATGATGCACACAGTGGAGGTCTCATTGTTCTTTCTTTGTCCATGGAGATGTTAGCAGTGTCCTTCATGAAGAAACTGAATTTTTCCATTACTCCTCCTGAGGGGGGACATGATTCACAAGACTCAATAAAATCAGGAACATATCAAAGTTGAAAAGAAGTACAAAAATTATGAAGTAGCAGTGGGACCTATTTTACAGATAAGAACAAGACTGTGGTAGAACCTCTTTTCACAGAAAGGAAGACTGAGTTCCAGAACATCACGCTATTTGCCACAGAGAAAGGGTTCTCTTCTTCAGTGATAACTCTATCCCAACTTACTTCTTCCACTGATCTCAGAGGGGAGAAGATCACCCAAGGCATTGAAAGAACAAGACTTCACAAAGGGAGATGAGGTAGGCTGTCTCTCAGCTTTCTTTGGTCAGCAGGGCAATGAGGGAGCTGAGTACTGTACTACCAAGGAAGGCCTCCATCATGTCTCCTTCTAAGGGGCTCATGGCCTTGAACATGCCTGTTTCATGGTCCAGGGCTGTATATGCATCTGTGTCAAAGAATCTTTCCTTCTGTGAAAGGAAACTTCCCAAAGAGAAATGTGTGTGTAAACGTGTTTTCTGGGCTCAGGCTCAACTTGATACTTGAACTTGCTAAGATGACCACAAAGGTGAAAACACAGGACATAAGTGTCTCAACACTGGTGGCTAAAACAATGATAAAAAGTAAATTTGGTATAAGATAATAAGTGCTAAGTTTCATCTTACATTTTAAAAGGGTGATATTTACCTAATTACTATTCTTCTAAATGCTGTGCAGGCTAAACAAAGCCAAACACAGTACATAAACAAAGCATGTCCATGGGATTTTGATCCAACAATAACAGCCTGTATCTTTTATTTTTGAAAAAAAAAAAAAGGCAGACCAATCATTTTCATTGCCTGTTCTCCCTTAAGACTACTGATACTTACTTAGGGCCTGTAGCAACTTGAGAATGAAGTCCAGATGCATTAATGTTGTTTAGTATTTTAGAAGTCATGTGAGATAGTGGATTCCCAACAATCAGTTACTCAGGAACCTTTCTTCAAATGGGAAGGTATATGGAACTCTACTTTCTAAAACAGTAAAACTTGAACTTGGGTTTGGGGACCACTCCAAATGGCCACTTTAACCCATTTGGTGACTCCCGACTTTCCCCTAGGTTACAGGGACAAATATGAGCTTGAAAACTCATGACTTCCCAGAGTTCTAATAATTAGAGATATGTGGTGGGATAGGAGCAGTTCAAGTTGGTGGAGTAGCTGGTCCAACTATGGTCTAATTAAGCTACAATTGGATTTTTCTTCCCACCCTCTATTCTGCGTAGAAATAAGTAAACTATAAAGAGTTAAGAGGTGGTGTCTTGGTAGGAGGAAGAATCTGCGTAGAGAACATTGTTCCCAGATACACTTTCTTTGCATTTGGTACTCACAAGATCTCCGTACACAGCTTGCATTTATTCCCGTAGGTGATATAGTCCGAACCACAAACTGGCATGTTTTCTATGGGGCAGGGGATGGCTACCACTGGGTACTTCTTGTATATGCTGCAGTCCAACTGGTTATACAGAAGAGAATGTCATGTATTTTTTCTCAAACACCTCAAATATAACCATCTTGGATCAACTCTCCATGCTACAAGAGCTGAAGTCACTCTCACCTCAGGTGTTCTGGTGCTGTTGAAGCTATTTTTATAAAGAGGACATTATCATTGTGACAAATACCAGTGGCGCCAGCACCCTTCCTCCTTTTGAATACCACACTTGGTGAGCAATTGCTGAGCATGTCTGTGTCAGACCATTCACTTTAGCATTACTTAATTTCCCATTATTTTATATTTAGAACACTCAGATAAGAGAAGTTCCACTATAATGCGCATTTACAAATGGAGAAGACAGTTCTTCACCTGCGTTGCTTTTCCTAAACATACGACATGATCCATGCATCGATATTTCACAAGTATTGGTTGACTAAATGATAGCCAATAGACAATGAAATTAAAATTTTGTTCAACATACTTACTGTTGCTAAAGGGTGACTGGTGACTGTGGTCACTTCTGAAAGACAAATACAAGGAAGTATTAAAAAATAAAGCAAAACCAGAATTTCTTTTTTCTTTTTTCTTTTTCTTTTTTTTTTTTTTTTTTTTTTTTTTTTTTTTCAAGACAGGGTTTCTCTGTGTAGCTTTGTGCCTTTCCTGGAACTCACTTGGTAGCCCAGGCTGGCCTCGAACTCACAAAGATCCACCTGCCTCTGCCTCCCGAGTGCTGGGATTAAAGGCGTGCGCCACCACCGCCTGGCCAAAACCAGAATTTCATTAATCAATGTAGTATTGTCTTTCGGTCAAAGACTTTTCATTTCTTTTGGCAATGAATCTCAGCAGAATCTCCATCATTCTACAAAATAACAGCTCTTTGTTTAGGAACTTGCATGGCCAATGGGCAAGCTGTTAAGTCAGGAAGGCAAATTTATTTATTCTTTCTGGAGCTTATGGTGTACTTGATAAAGTCAATTGCCACTGAGTCCTTATCACTGATACACTTTTTCTGTTAATCAACATGAAGAAATGAAAAGGGCTACATGTGGTGGTGCACATATTTAATCAAAGCACACTGGAGGCAAAAGCAGGCAGAGCTCTGTAAGTTCAAGGTCAGCCTGGCCTACATAGCAAGTTCCAGGCCACTTAGGACTACATAGTAAAACCCTGTCTTAAACAAACAAACAAATAAACAATCAAACAGAAAAGTATATGAGCGTCTTTAATGTGTTAGAAAGTGATTTTAACTAAACCTCTTTACACAGTTTAAAAGCTGAATCGTTAACTTGAGCCTCCTGGGGCAGTGTGTTTAATTTCAATCCTACCATGTGGACTTCTGCGTCTCTGCACTGAGAAGTAGCCATCTACGGACACAGTCGCAAGTATCCTTACGCAGTAGAATTTATAAATAAATTAGGACCCTTTTTGTCCTGGGTGCCAAGTAAGAATCCTTTTAAGAAAAGGCATTAAATCCCACTCTCTCAAAGTACAGCTAGAACCACTCTCCTTCCTGACCAGAACTGTTCTCACTTTAGATCCATTTGATCTGATGATTATATCAGTAGCTTAGATCCTAGGGGAAAATGTTTGGAAAAAGAAAAAAAAAAAAGCCTTCAGGACTGTATGTGACATTGTCTAATCCAACTCACCCGAGCTGTTGCAGAGACAGCTTGCTGTGAGGAGCAGAAGGAGACCCCCAAGGACCTTCATGGTGGAGAGGGCTGTGATGAGGACGCTAGTGATCTGAGATTGGCTTGAAGCTGAATGCACCATGTACCCGCAGAGGGATCATATTTATAGGGAAAGCTTTGGTTTCTCCACCTTTCCTGTGAGCTCATCCAAAGTCAGTGTTGGACCTGAGAGGCTCTCAAAGCATGCCACACCCGAGTGGCACTGCCTTACTTGATGGTTAATTACTGCTTCCCTTCTCACCAATAGGGAGGTGACTTGAGGTGACAAGTATTTTTTCTGTCTGTTGCATAAGTAAGAACTGTTACTTACATTAAGCTTTTCACAGAAGAGATTAAGCACAGGTTTCTTCCTTATGAGACAAAAGGAAATTACCAGCCTAGTTTATTTTACCTGAATAGAAGGTATTAAACATAGGCAAGTCATAGTATACCTACATCGAGTTTAGGCTCCCGAGAAGATAAAGTTTTCTTTTCAAAGCAGTGAACCTATTAAGCATGCTGGGGTCTGGCAAATGTAACAATAGCTTTGGCATTTATGAGGTTTGGAGAAAGGTGTTGACATTTCCTAGCTATGAAACCTTGGGTAAGTCATTGGTGAGGCTGTGAACTTTTACCAGGCAGGAAAGCGTGACATATGACAGGTGCTTGTAATTTTGAGATTTCTATGACTTAAAGCTTGTACCTCTGTGAGTGGGTGGTCAGGTGATGCTGCTGTATGGCTGGCTATCTCTTCAGTTGCCAAACGGGCAAAGTAGTCACTGTTTAGAATGGTGCTTTCCAGCGAGGTGAAGAAATATTCTGAAGGATGTCCCTTTCCATCAATGAAATAAATATTCCATCCCAGAAGAGTTGCCTCTGTCATGTCCCTTCTCTGTCACACAGCTATCGGGCTCGGGGTCTTTTCCAGTTGTAGAGGATATGGAATGATTATAGTCACTCTTACCTCGTCCCCTGAATGTCAGCACAAGAATGACTACAAGTCGTTGACGAACAGCAGAGTGTCTGTCTCAGAGCCTGAATGTCATCCCTGTCCCGTGGGGATTATCATTAGTCACAAAAGAGCTAAATGCCGTTAACACAAAAGCCTGTTTTAAAGCAGAATGTGTTTGAATGCACACTAGGGATTGTTAATATTCCCAGAGGAGGCAAGAGTCAGTACTTGGATTGCTGGCAGTTAAACTGTAAACTGCATGTCCAGGCACAGTTGTCCAAGTGCCTACCATCAGTCTGCAAAGCTCAAGACATACATGCAAACCCCGAAAGCAGTAGTAGATAAAGCTCATTGTGGTAAGCTTCATTTAGTGTGTTCTGAAAAACAGCATATACAAATGATATCAAACAACTAATAAATGACATTGTATCGCACTAAAATTTAGACTTTTACATATTTGGTGGGGGCAATGTAATCTTGTTAAAAGCACTAAAATTGTATACCATGGATCTCATTTGAATTGTTCATCTAAAAGCCATTGAATACTGTTATTTAACTTCGAGAGACACGAATTCTTCATCTCTGAAACACAACTAATTTTACCCCATGGGATGTTTTGGACTCTTAAACGAACCTTCACACACATATGCACATACACACACACACACACACACACACACACACACACACACACATATACACATGAGGTGGGGGGCAGGTAACATGTCATGACAATTTGGTTGTATAAAAATCACAGAGTATAATTATACACACACCCAAACTATCATATATATACATATAATCTGTATGGATGTGCACTTACATATAGACATATATCAAAGTACATATATATTAAGTTCATTTCTTCTAGGACCATTTAAACAAGATAGCATTGAAGCACAGGATATATAATACAATTGAGAGCCATATAAACCTGAGATATGTAAGACTGTACCTGAAATAACACAGTAACATACCATTTTATAGTAAGCTTTCTTTCATATAAGTAGAAGGAGTAAGTACTAAAATATTATATAAAGTATATAATACAACATATATTAGTTATTTACCATTATTCATTATCAGGTATTGTCTACATATATTGTATGCAATGTACTTTCATATGACCAGAGGTGCAGTCGAGCTAGATGCATTTCATCATTACAAATAGTCTCACCACTATGAAACACAACTAATATGTACCCCATTGGGTAAAGTAGTTACAATGGCTAAAAACAACTAGGTAATGGGGATTTTTTTTCAACTTCACTATAATCTTCTGGGACTACATTCTATGTGCAGCATGTTGTTGACTGAAACACCAATATCTAAAATATGACTATGTATCTAATTCTTTTATGAGTGTGTGTGTGTGTGTGTGTGTGTGTGTGTGTGTGTGCTATATCAAGTGCTGGACTCATAATCAGATATTGATATGGTAGTTCATGTTGGGGAATGCAATTTTCATGACAACACTTTGAAGAAGTTAGTTATTGCCCTAATTAACCAGTTGAAGCTTTGAAGACTTATATAATTTTTCCTAAGGTCATGACACCAATTCCTGGAGGAGACTATGCAGAGTTGAGTCACAGGCAAAAAGTGGTGGTTCCACTAAGGACAAACAGTTGTAAGTTCTATTGTTTGTTATGAAAGTTTACAGATAATGAATACCAATCTAAAGCCATTGTGCTTCAAGATGAGGTATATATATATATATATATATATATATATATATATATATATATATATGTTTTAAATAACAGAGTTTTTGTTTTATTTCATTTTTTAACAAAAAAGGAATGCTAATGAGATCGGGGTGATCAGGATGCTGTGGAAGTACAGACTCACAAAGTATTATTTTGGATATTTGAGCATCAGGGAACTTTGGCTTTATTCAGCAAAGTCTTGTATTTACTGAGAATCTTGAAGATGCACAGTGGAGGGTGATGAACTAGAGGCCTATAAAGGGAAGACATAGGGTGAAGGCACAGATGAAGCCACTCCCTCTGTCACAGAAGACAGGTGATTAGGTAGGTAGGTGAATGTGGAGACTGCTGTTTGGAGAGATCAGGACATAGAGCCCATCATAATCTGCCTTGGACAACAGAAGAATTGAGTTACACTGTAGCTTGAGAAGAAGGTTTGGCACCAACATAGATGGGAATATATTAGATCATCCAAACTGGATATAAGAACTGATGGCCATTAAACAAAGCTCCAGCACAATTAGTACCTTGTTGCACATTTTTCTCAAAGTCCATATAACACTAAGTGATCTTGTGAATGTTGAATGAGCACACCTGTGACTTCTGACAAGCATATCTCTGTGTTAGGGAGGACCAAGGTTTGGAAGAGAGTCACTTGTTCTAGAAACTCCTGCTAATTTCTTCTGAAAGATCAAGTTTTAAACAAAATATGAACTTAGTAGGTGTGGAGAACATAAATAATTGTTTATGCAGGCTGTGGTTAGAAGGCAAATGTCAGGATTAATTTCTCAAGGGTGGGGCTGAGTTCACGACACTCTGGGTGTTTACAAAAACAAAGCAGAGGTGGATGGGTGGAGATTAAGAGTGAGGAGGAGTGAGGTCAAGGGATCAGGCATGGGGTTGGTTTGGGTTTTGGAAACTACTTCATGCTGAACACTGAACCACACATTCTGGGGAGCGGGAAAGCAGCCCATTTTAGGCCAAGGGTAGTTTTTTTATCCAGCCATATGTTCCTTCAAAGCAGGAGCCTTGAATTCTATAAGAGGACCACTATTGTGGGCCCACATAGTGGGAGGACGTGTAAAAATAAATGCAGAAAACATGAAAGCAAAAGACAAAGTCTTTGGAGTCTTGCATATTTTCCCAACTGGATTTGGGGTACCCCAAGAAAGAACAGGATGGCTGATTAAAGGGTTATACTGGAATAATGATTGAATGAGGTGTTCCTGGGTCAGCTACTTGGAGGGACATCAGGGAAATTGCATCATAGATGGGCATAATCCAGGGACAGAACAGTATCTATAGCAGCAGACTATCATAAGGAAACTAACACATATTAAGTAATTAGTATCTCCTGAACCTGTGCCCTCTGGATCTGGATTAGTTCACTTAAAACAACCTTATGAGATAGGTGTGAATAGCCACTTGTTTTAGCTGAGATTAAAAACAAAGGCTTAAAAGGTAGCAGTTCAAACCAAGGAATGATACATTTTAATTCTTCTAATGTAATGAGAACCCAATTCTTCCCACCACGGGGGCTGTGGTTATCAGTCCCAGCACTGCTGTGTGCTTGGTCAGTAACATTCTTGATATACCCTGTGTTCCTCTTGTGAAACATTGTTTAGCTTCTTGCTGCCTTTGTTCCATTGTGTGATAGTCTCTGCTGACTTGGTCTCATCTCTCCCCTCCTGAAAATAGTATATAAGATGCTGTACTTTTTAATAAGCTTGTGAGGCATAAGACATAACTTGTGCAAGACCTCTGGACTCCAGCTTTTATGTTCTCTATCCCCTATCTTTTCTTTCTCATCCCTTGGAATGTCCCCTTCAGGACCATGTCACTAAAGAATGACCATCTGGTCCATGTCAACAAATCATTCCAATCATGAGATAAGACGATGTGAATAAATGATAACAATTTTCCTTCTGGTTCACATCCCACATCCGGATATTGATTGGCACATACACAGCTGTCAGCAGTAATTGATAAAAATCACATCTACTGCTCTCAAAGCTGAAAGGATACCTACAACCTAAAAGTCAGCCAGCATGAAATAATGTCTTAGTTAAGGCTGCTGGGACAAAATACCAAAAACCGAGGAGCTTAAACATTAGAAATTTCTTTTCTCGTAGTTCTTGAGAGATCTCACCAAAGCGTTGGTTTGGCTGGTGGACCTTCTGCAGCCTTTCTCCTGGGCTTCCAGACAGACACGCTTTGTGCTGGCCTTCACATGGCTTATTCCCTAAGCACATACACCTGGCTTCTGTTCTTTCAGTCAAGACACCAGCTCCACTAGGTTAAAGCCCCATCGTTAAGACCTTCTCTAGCCTCCATTTCTCCTTTCTTGGCTATGACTTCAGTTTTCAATCTTCTGGAACTTGCAGAATACAACTATACCTCTGTTACTATGCCCTTTCCCGCAAGTATCTCCTGCTCACAGTCATCATGTGTTTTAGCCAAACTGGCCTCTTTCTCTGAAAATGTGAGCAAATTAATTTCTTCTTGGGTTTGTATTTTGACTCACTCTATCAGTAAACAGATAATCTTGGAGACTGAAATTGGGAGAAGTGTGATTCCTGAGTTTTTACTTCATTTTTACCTCTGTATACTGTATTCCCCTTAACTTCTGGTCCTTTCTATGGACCTCTGTGAGAGCCTGCTTCTACAAAATCCTATATTTTCCCTATGTGTGCATACCTATGATAAAGTTTTGTGAATTAGGCATAATATATAAACAACAATAACTGGTAATACAATGGAACAATTGTAAAATATACTATAATGGATGTTATTATACAAGATACTATATTGTGTTGCATTATACCCTAATGCATGATGGTGTGTGAAGATAGGTTAAGATGAGATAAAGTGAATGATATAGATATCATGATGCTGTACTACATTGCTAGAGCATGATTACTAGGACAAGAGTAATATGATATGCAACAGCACATCCGACAACCAAGAATGACTAATGGGATCATGTCCTGAATAGTGTGGACATACTAGAGAAAGGTCTGACTCATATCCTGGTTGA